TTGGAGAGTATGAACCGCTCCCAACCCCAATATTAATGGTTAATGATCGGGTCCAAAAAGAAACTAGTTTGGTTATGAAGTTGCAATCCACTACTGAATTACCAAAGGGTGACAAAAATTGTAAGAATGTGGAACCCAGCATTGAACATCCTGTTAACAGACAGGTGCTTGAGGTAACACATCCTTCGGTGCCTGATTCCCAAGGAAAACCCTTCTTTGGTTCTGCTGGAGTAAGGCTCAGTGAACCGGTCAACATCCTAAATCAGGAGCAGAACGTCCAATCCAGGAAATTGGGCAAGTCTGAGAATAAGGGTTTGAAACAAGTGGAGTTGAATTCTTTACCCTCCAGTAATCAGAATAACAATGGTCTGGTTGCGAAGTTTACAAGTAATGCTCCTGTAGCAGAATCTAAGCTCAGAGACGTGATGCCAAGGAGCATGAATGCTTTCAAGCAGCCAGATGCTAATGGAGTTGTTAGTGGAGAGTTTCCTAATAATGGAAAAGTCACGAATGCAAGTTTGAAGAGACAGGTGACTGGTCCATCACCTGAAAGTACATCAAACCAATCAAACAGAGCAGCACCTGTTGTTGTCCATGGGCAGGAGCAGAGTCTTAGTGACCCAGTTCAGTTGATGAGAATGTTTGCTGAAAGGGCTCAAAAGCAACAAACTTCTTCCAATCATTCCCTTGTTGATACTCCGCCAGTGACACTATCAGGTCCATCTGGACAGAAAGATGACTCGGGCAATGCTGCAGCTGCAGCTGCCCGTGCATGGATGTCTGTTGGGGCAGGAGGGTTTAAACAAGGACCTGACAATTCTAGTTCTCCCCAAAATCAGATATCTGTAGATTCTTTATATAACTCAACAAGAGAGTTCCATCAACATATTTCAAGAATTCGGGGAGAGTTTCCCTCGGGTGGAATGCCTTTGCAACCATTTCAAGCACTTGCTTCTCAACCTATTCACACAGGCGCTGTTTCAGAGTTTTCCAACCGGCCTATGGTGTTCCCTCAATTCACATCTTCTGACCAGTCTAGATTTCAAATGCAGTCCCCATGGCGAGGTTTTAGTCCTCGTAGCCAGTCAAGGCAGAAACAGGAAACCCTTCCACCTGACTTGAATATTGGTTTTCAATCTCCAGGGTCACCTGCAAAACAATCTTCTGGTGTCCTTGTTGACTCACAGCAACCAGACCTAGCTTTGCAACTATGATGAGGTATTGTTGTCTTTGATGGATGTTTCCACATGAATTGGACTGGTCATGGAATGTGCAGTTCCTGTTGTTGGATGTTGAATTTTGATCCTTGAAGGCTTGCATAATAAATGTGAAAATGCTAAATATTGGAATTTAGCACAAGGTAGTCCCGAGTCAAAATGAGTTTGATAGTGCAGGAGAATTTGGTGGATTAAACAGAAATAACGTGACGACTTACCATCATTTCCTGATGAGGATTACTGAATCCATGGACCATGTCTCTATTAACTTAGGGTTGAAGCTGTAGAAAAAGTCTGCATGTTGATTGATTTTATCGGTAGCAGGCAAAATATTTTGCTGATGCCTTGTATGTATATTGTTTACAAATTGATTAAATGTGGTTGGCTAGATATTTCGGTCCTTTGATGACTACTTATGTATCGAATTGGTGGTAGGGTATTACTTCTTAATTATGCAATTATTTTGTACATGAGATTTACGTGTTACTAATGGAAAACCATTGCTTGCTTCTTTTTCTTAAATAATATTGGGTTGCTCCATTAAGCAAATTCTAGTTGGATGCCGCTCTACCGTTCCAATTCTGACTTGAAGCCATGCCAGCATTTATTCAGTGTTACTTCTGTTTTTTAAAAACTTACAGAGACAACCTTGACATGATATGAGGATGGCATGATTATGATTTTCTATAGGTTAAAGGGCAGATAAAAGTTGGTTTACTTTGTTGACCCTGCATTCCTATAAAGCAGAGACTTCTTGTCCTCGATAAGGTAATCTGATAAGGTGTTTTTTTTTTTGAAGTTTAGCAAAATGTATTATTGAGCCATATAAATTTTCCATATGGCACCCATAAAGTATTCTTTTCCCCCAGTCTTAATCACCTGTACACAAACATGAGGATGCAGTAATGGAAAGAGAAAACTGTTCCTTTCTCATCTCCCCTTTCCAGATAGGCTGAAGCAACTATAAATTTAAAAGGCTTCAAGGCACTTGATGGCAGCTATCAACTACAAATTTGGACACTCTTTGGACATGCAAAATTACTTCAGCTTTGCAGCTTTCTGTTGGATTTAGATCCCATTCCTTTGTGTTTCTTCCGAGTTCCGATCCGTCAGAGAACAAGCTATCACCATCTCAGTAATGACAAAACATGAAAGTTTATACCAAGATGAGGAATATGCTTAGTGACTATTTATTGCATGCCTTCTGGTTAATGGTAAAAAAGTTTAAGCCACATTTAAGACATTTGTAATATAGTTTTTTTATTTTTATTTTTTGTGGTCATGGGGGTTGGATGGTGGCAAATAGCATATGCCAATTAATGGTAAAAAAGGGAGAAATTGAACTTGTAAGGCACAATTTTAGTTGCCGACAAAACATGTGAGACTGGCATAGTTGCATGAAGCCTAGTATTGAGGCAACTCTTTCGAAACTTGCTGAGCCAAATTGACACTTTGCCAGGGTGAGGACCACGAGATCTTGAAATTATCGGATGCTCCTATAGCATATATGCACATTGTCTCCAACCAGTGGAATCAATGCTACGTGAACAAAATTAGGCAAAAAGTTTTTTCATCTTATTTTTTGAGTTTTAATTTGATCCTTTGAAATAATATTGTTAGAATTATACAGTTTGTTAATAAATTAAGTGTAACCAACTAACTCAACTAAATTTCATAATTTTTATATATTAGTTAAAAGGATCTATGTATAAGACGAAGTGGTATTTCATGAAAGTATTGGAAATCCTTATTAGTTTTCCAAAGAGAGAGAGGTCTTAAATGGTTATAAAAAAAATTGTAAAATAGATTCCATAAGTATATATTATAACTATAATTTATCAACTATTAAAATTCATTTAAGTTTCAAAATTTATTATTCCAATTTCGTATTCTTAATAGAATAATGTTATTTAAGCAATAACTTTTTAAACAATTTTTGACCACACATTTTCTTTATTACCTTTTGTTTTTTCCTCCTCCCTATCTCTTTCTATTAAGTTACGTATCCATCAAATATTTTTATTTCTCCTCTTCCATTCTGTTTCCCTTTATTTAATTGGTTATCAAGATTTTGATATATAAATAGAGTTAATCATCTATACACTGTCAGTGTAAAGTTTTTTTTATACTGGCAACCAATCATATTTTTTAATAGTAACATATCAATTGCTTATTTAATGAAATAATAATAAAATAAATAACTTTAAAAGATATGATTGATTGTCAGTATAAAATTTTTTACACAAGTAGTGTAGGGATGATTAACTCATATAAATAACCCTACAATTGTCAATATGTATGCTACACTTTTGGTGCAACCTTATTACTGATTATATTACTTTTTCGAATTTTCATTTTATTTAATTTAATTTGATTCTTCTATTCTAAATTTTTTTAAGTAATTTCTCTCTCTCTCTAATTAAAACTAACAACGTTAACTTTTTTTATGTGATATTAAAAAAATGACATGGATTATTACGTGAATAAAAAGTAACATCATTATTCTCAATTGAATAGAAAAAACTACATCATACTAGTTTAAAAAATTAAGAGATAAAACTGAACTTTTTAATAAATAAGAAGTCAAACTAAATAAATTGAGATAACAAAAGAGTTCTTTAGTAACTTTTTTATCACTATTTTTCTAATTTTATTAGATAGTTAAGCGCGGTTAAGAATTTATGATTTCAATCAATCTCTACATAATATGTATTTGACCTTTTCAATTTAAAAAAAGTATATTTAACCTTTTCAATTTAAAAAATTAATAAAATTTAATTATATGTCATATAAAAATTCATGAAAGATAATGTGGTTGAAGGTTTAAAGTATCCATGGCGATTCTCTCACCATATCATTTATATATTCTAAATATATGTTTTCATATTCCTAGGGGATCAATCTGACTAAAGAATTATTTTATGGATAAAAGTCATCAAAGGAAGAAAGAAAGTAGTAGGCACACTATACCCAAAACAAAATTTTATTTTGCAAGAAACATTTGGCCAGCATCAAATATCCACCCACAACCTTTCTCATTTGTGCCCTACACAAACATGAGAATTCTAAGTGCCCATGGAGACAAGTGGAATAAAAAAGTTCTTTCTCCAATCTCTTAAAGACATCACCACAATACCAATAGCAACTTGCACAAAATCAAACATACATGGGACATGGTTCTAACTCTCATAGCATCATCTTTTGCTATTGCTTGCTCTTGGATTTTTTGGCTTGGTACTTCTTCCTATCTCTTAGCATACAAACATCACCATGGCATATAAACTCTTTGGACTCAGAGACACAGCAACAGCTAAAGAAAGACAAAGCCATGGATTGGTCAAAGCTTGAAGCCACAAGAAAGAAAATTAACAAAGTGGCTTGCTTATTTGCAATTCTTATGCTATATATATAATATATGATATATGATACATGATATGAACACACGTACATTTTTATCATGTAGTGGAGGACAAGTAGCATATGGAAAGCATTAAAATAATGGTCAAAGATTGCACAATCTGTCAGTTTCAGCAATCAAATTAAAACACGTCTTGATTTGTTGACAACTTGTCAAGGACAAGAGTAGTTGCCACGAAACACGTTGGAGTGGTATAGAAATGTTTGCAACTCAATTTTTAAGATGAAGTTCTTACTTGATTTTATTTTTATTTTATATATCTATATAATGTTATGAACCATCATCTTTAATAATAATAATAATAATTTTTTTAACTGAGTATAGTGAGATTTTTCTTTCTAATATCTTAGAGATTCAAACTTGAAATCTTAATTAAAATAATTAAGTTTTGTATTATTTAAATTAACGATTCATTGATAGATTTGGAGTATTTTGATGTGTTGATATTTTTGTTTTATTTTATCATGATTAAAATTTTATTTTTGTACATATTTTATATTAACATTCAATATAAATTTTATAAAAACAAATTATTGAAATAAAATTTTAATTTTAATGAAAATAATATTAAAAATTACATTTAAATTTTTTCTTGTCTTATTATTAAATGAAATTTCACTGAATCTTATTAAATGTGCACACCTGAGTTTTATCTGGTGAATTTTATTATTAAATTAATAAATTATATATGAGACTTTTTCGTTGCAGAGAATATGTTATAAAAGGCAACTAAAGAATGTTTGGCCGATACTGCTCCTCAACTAATCATACGGAGAATTATACCTTTGTGAATAAGAATGAGAATATTATGGTATAAGTAAGGTATTATTTATTACTATATTTATATTTAAAAAACATTCATATTCAATCTCATGTTTGTATGGATACTAACTTTAATCTTCGTTTCTTTATCCACTAGCCCCTATATACCTACTTTACTTCAGTGCAGAATCGTGACAAAAAATTCTGAAACCTTAAGCAGATTTATATTCAAAATTTAATTTAATTTACAAATCTCATTTTATGTTTTAGCAACTATATAATTATAAACTATAGTATATATAGTATGTGACCCTCTCTATACCCCTCTAACTAATATTCACCAATGATAATAATACTATTTTTTTTTATTTTATAATAAAAGTACGTCAATTATAAACAAAGAGAAAACAGTTATATAGAAACCCCTTGATGTTGAGGATTCACATTCGAAAAATTCATTACAAACTAGCCACTAAGATGTCTTAGCTAAGCTAAAAGAAGAAACATAAGTCTACAATAAAAGAAAGACTCAGCTCTCCAAAAGGCCATACAAATTATAAAATAAAGCTAACAATAAATCCTAAAAAAAAAAGAGAAAAATAAGAAAATAAGTCAAACACACAATTATAGTATGAAAAATGTAGACACATATAATTATCATACAACAAATGTGTTAACTCGAATAATTCTAAATGCAAATGGTGTTATTCAAAAGATTATGAGTCTTTTAAAGACTTATAAGTAGTTTAGGAGGATATGTCGATGACAAACACTCAAACACTCTCAACTAGAAGGAAGATATCAAAGAAAGATGATGTTATTGATAAAAGGCTTCTGGAAGGGTCCTAATCATTAGATCGTTAGAGCGATAACGATGTTACATAAGATATACCTCATATACACAACGAGCAAAATTAGGACTTCCAACCCTACATGTCTTCGAGATCATGAATTTTCAAGATCACAAGAGGGATCTTCCCTGACATTGTATTCTATACCAATACCTTATTAAAAAAACACTTTATGCATAATGCATGTTGCACACAAGACTCAATGGAGACTCAAATTCACATACTCATCACATATTCACAATATCTATTTATGATTTCATCATAATTAGACTTGCATGTCCAAACTTTCAACATAGCTAAGCCTTCAACTTAGACTTCGCATCAAGTATTGTAAGAATCACTTAAGACACAATGTAACTCACAAAATAACTCTTATATGATATAATTAATATATTTTCACAAAACCCCCTTCTTAATTTTATAAAACATGTTTAATTAATTACAATAAGATCTTATTATCTTTAGAAAAAACTTGTGGTGTTACGAAGTTC